ATTAAGCGCCTGGGTGTCTGGGACAGCCAACTGCACTCAGGATCATCATCTAGGACCTAATCTCCCTGCATATTCATCTACATGTGATGGTTAGTTAGCAGTTAGGCAGCAGTAAACAAGATGTAAAACACATAAAATGACCTTATACTTGCTGTAAAAGATGACCGTTTAGTCCTTTTCTTCCTGTTTTCTACACAGGTTTTGGGGATGTGAAGAAGCATTTCCGGAATCTCAATGTTTATTAATGTTGCAAACTTCTGTGTTTACATTCTATCAGACTTGAAAACAAATGTTTCAAATGATTCATGTAAAAAAAAATCACGTGTTTTCAAAAAGCTGCAAAGAGCTTGTGCTTTGCGCCCCCTAATATTCACTGTTTTCATTTCCCCAAGCCTCTGCAATGGAAGTGGACAGTGCAGGTTGGCACACAGCCACAGTTCTGGGCCACAGTAATAGAAAATACACAACATTGAAACAAGCCAGAATCAAGCATAAATTCTATATGTTGCACTGTATTTATATAGGAGTGTTTGGCAGACAGCAAATGTCAGCACAGCAGGACACATTCCCACTTCTAGTGTAAACAGGAAGATATATGATAGAACAGCCCTGCGAGGCTACGCTGGTGTTGGAGCTGCAGTAGCTGAGTCAGCAGTCAAGGGATAAGTCAATCTTAAGTACATTAAAAATGTGGGAAATGACTTAAAATCTTCATCCATAACTCTTTATTTAAGTTCAAAATCGCCACTATGCAATTTTAGAGTCCTACAGCTCAATATGCTGACACTGATGTTAATTTCAATTAGATTTTTTTTTTTGCAAGTGAGACCACTAAATCCATCTTTACAAAAGTAAGCACTTGCGTAGGAGTTTGAGAGCTTTCAGGTCCACCTTTGGCCAATCGCCTCTTGCTCATTGCAGCTGTGTGAGCTGGCAAATACACTGCAGCTAGGGATGCACATTTCCAACAGCTTATTTAACCAATAGTCAGCTGTGGTACCAATCAATATCTGATTAACAGTGAAAATTTACATATTTCCATGTGTTGATAAAGCCACAGATTTCTAAACTAGCCAGTTGGTTATAAAGAAACCTATGAGCTCTGGTCAGAATCCATTAACCATCACAAAAGTCTTGTCATGGTGACCAGTTGGTAGCTAAAACCCCACAATGCTCTCTGCTTGTCAACACAAACCACCCATAGTCCGAATAACCACCTACACGAGCTGCAGAGAGAGGCTCCACCTGGTGGTGCAACTACAGCACATGTACCATACAGTTGTCATTTGCCTTATTAGTTATTTCTATTTTCAACTGATTGAATGGCTGTAAATTAGTCCAAATTTCTTCTTCTTCCAACTTTGTCACCAACTTTAAAAGTCACTAAGTTCATGCATGATGCAACAGTTTTCAACACATTTCATGCTCTCACATTTAAATCAAATACTGGAGATTAATTAACATAATATGTGTTTGTCAAAGAAATCTATTTCTACTTGTAGCAAATTACAGATCAAGCTGACCTGAAGACTGAAAAAAGATGCACAAGTTGAAGATGCATCTTGCAGTTTGAACAACCCACCAACAATTTACCAATTAGGGTAATCTATACTTTGCCTTGGAAGACAAATAATTTAATTGTGTCCACACTATGACAAATGCATAAATGCTTGAAATAACTTTGGAACGCTACATCATCTCAGTCCAAGTTTCAGCTGACAAACTATTTAATTAAAGCTGTGTAATACTGAATACAGTCAGTGAAAATACCAAACACTTTCTACCCTTGAAAGTGCTTTTACAGTAAAAGTGGCCATCACATGGGATACGCTAAACTCCAGCAGAGAAGTTGGATGAAGGATGTATGGAAACTGAAGCCCAGACTCATCTCCATGTGGAGTTACAGAGACATCAGAAGCTTTTTGATCCTTGTTTCTATTGGATGTCGATGGGTTTACAATCAATGAAGTGTCTCACTAAAGTTTTGCACAGCCTGTCTGGAGACTGGAGGGATCCATGTTACCCTAACTCGGAAAGACCACTCAAGAAATGAGAGAAAAACTTGAAGAGGGAGGAAATTAGGAGAAGAGGGAATTGAGGCAAAAAAAGGATTTGTGAAGAACTAAAAGACGTAAAGGTGAACAAAAAGGAGCAAGTAGTGGTGGAGGAAGAAAAGCAGGAAACAAGGGAGGAGGAAAAGAGGAAGATGAAGCAGAACTGAGAAAAAAAAAAACTGAGCAGGAACACAAGGGGAGAAGTCAGGGGGAAAAAAAAGGATGGCAGAAAGGTGGAGACTTAGAAGGCTATAAAACTTTCTCTCTGTGTGTGGAGAGAGAGAGTGTGTGTGTTTGTGTTCTGAGGATGTTTGGCATCTGGATGTGTTTATAGGCACTGGGTCAGGGACCGAAAGTAACCCCGAAAAGCCTGGCTAGGCTTCAATCTCCTACTACACACCTACACACACAAACAAACACGAGGCTTGTGTCACTTACTTTACTTGTGTTATATAACTTTACACCAAATCGCATATGCCAAAAACACAACCCAACACAATAGCCTCAAACACATACCTCAAAGCTGAAACCTGCACTTGGCAAACAGTTTTATGCTCTTTGTAAAAAAAAAACTACCACGAGAACATCAGAAGAGAACACTGCATGGTGAAAACACATTTTTAATAACAGCACAAGTCGAATGTAAGTTGTGATCACTGGAGAGAATTCAACATGCATGTGATTTGAATGGTTTAGAGATAACTATAGCAAAGGGGCATTTAAGGATTCTCAGCCGAAGACTACGGTGGACTCAGGATGCAAATCACAGGAACTTTACGTTCTCATGTGATGTCCAGGAACCTTCCCGAAGGTAAAAGTTCCTCCAGTGCATTGCTACTACACAGGCCAAAGCTCCCAGAACACTGCAAATTCCAGATGTATCAAAAGGTCTTAAATCTTCCGAATGTCATTCTCTGAAAAAAATGGACTAAAAAGCCTGGACTTCATCAACAGCCCATCGTGCATAAAATCTCTCGGGTGGCTCCTTGGAGCAGGTCTTGTGCTTGAAATCAGTGTTTACTTTTTCTATGACCGTGATCTTTCTTTAAACTTAACCAAGTGCTTTCAATTGCTTAAACACAACAGTGCAAACATTCATCACACTTTGGCTGCCTGGCGAAGGTACCGAAGGAATTACAAATGACATTGAACAGTACGCAGATACCCTTGACTTATACATTTCCTCCCTGGCTGCTTTATATTTTCCACAAAACATACGTTTAGTGCAAATATGTTAAATAGGAGCGTGGTTTTAAGTTGACAGGGCTGCCACTGTGACTACACCAATCCATCAGATTGCTATTGGCAGCGAGAAATGTGTGTTGTTTTTTTTCTTTTTCCATTCATTGATGCATTCATTCCTTCAGTCTGCTTGTTGTGTTCCCATGACTTAGGATATGTTCCAATCCCTACACTATCATACCATTCACTATGCCAAAAAAAGATTCAGTATGTCCTAATATATACTATGTCAGACACAGTATGCCAAAAATAGCAGGATGTTCTGCTACATCCGGTCTTATTTTGCAGTATGTAAGCCAGCATGCTTCTCTGACCAGCAGTCCTCTTTACAGCAGAAGATGTGTCACATATATGACACATCAAAGTGTCTTGGTATAACAAGCTGGTCCCACAGAGAGAGAACGAAGAATATGACTTTGCACTAAAGACTGCAACGTGACATGTTTTACACCTGAATCTAATCCAGTAATCTGGATTCCAGCTCTCTGCCTCCCTGTGCCTGCCTAGTTTTTTTTCTACCCTGAACCATCTCACTGCAAGTAAAGCTCACCTTTGAGCGCACTAATCTTAGCTCTGATGTTAATCGCGCATCAGCCGTGACATGAGAGATCCATATATTTTGTAGCTTAGAGCTACATTCATCCCGTCATAGCAGATTGCAGAAGTCAGTTTCCACACAGTGAGGTTACCGAGTGTGAAAGTGGGAAGAAGAGAATATTAATATCAGCTCTATACTGGCAAGTAGATGTTGGTATTATGAGAACAAAGTTAGATTAGTATGCACGCTAAAACATTACAACCATATCTTGGATCTACCTTATTCTTATTCAACTGTTTCCCTAAATACATCACATGAGGTGCGTTTCTGCATACTTAATAGGATTTTAATATGCTAATTAGCAGGGTGGAGCTGGCAGACTTGATGACAGACGTGCTGAGATTAAAGAAAGCGATGCTGCCGCAGGAAGAGGAGGAGATAGGTGACCATTCCACATGTTCAGCACCTTTTTTTTTTTTCCTTTGAAACAGACTGCATTCACACCTGGCTCACATCTGACCACATTGAGTGTCAGACCATGTCCAGATGTGGTCTTCTCATCATGCTGCGTGCATTTACACCTTGCATTAACATGCGCTTTTCCTCGTCCAGATAAGTAATCATGATGCAGATTGCATGTTAATATCAGGTGTAAATTGGGTCAAAGAGAAGGAGGCAGGGGGATAACAAACTGCAGATTGAGAGTGAAAGAGCAAGAAAATATCTGTCAGATGGTGCCGGGCCTTCCCCACTCGTTAAGTCACCCCTGTTACTCTCTCTCACTCTCTTCTTTCTGTCTTTTGCTCTGTCTCTCATACTCTGTCTGTCTTTCCGCTTTCTCTCTCTCACATGGCTGTAATTATGCTTGTGTAAACAAATGAGACCAAAGAGAGACATCAGGAATTCCAGTTGGGCCTGTGGGAGCAGTGTTGCTTTCACAATCACACACAATGACACACACATCCACCGAGGATCCATAAGTTAAACGAACACCCTCCTACTATCTTTCATTATGTCTCATCTGCCTGCCCGTTATGCTTCAGTGTATAGTCCCAATGTGAACTCTATGCAATCGCTCAGCTTCGCTACTTCATTGGCGCACCATCCAGAAGCAACTCACCAGACTCGCACTTCTGCTAATAGGACATTAGCACATACACACTAACCTGCTCATGGTACTCGATCCCCATGCTCAGTGTATTAATCAGAATGGCGATCATAATCCCTCGACCAAAGTACTTGCTGTCCACAATCTTCCTGAATGTGTCGCACACCAGCCTCCAGAAGTGAACCACCTTGGCCGCCGTTTTCCCCAGCCTTCGGTGCTTCTTCCTGGGTTGCCGACTGTCTCTCCTGTCCCTGTGGTGGAGGTCCTGCGTGAATTCGTAAACCCCGTCGCTATCTGAGTCACCAGGCGTCTCGTTGCCCTCTGTGCCACCCTCCGATTCGTTGGCCAGGGCCTTGGCGCAGTAAGGGCAGCTCTCGGGGTCTAATGTCAGGGCGGCTGTGTCCATGGCGCTGCTTGTGGTGCTGAGGTCACGAGCCGACAGCTGGCAGGAGAGCTGAGCTGTATTCGAGGAAGAAAGGTCAGATGGAGAGGCTGAGACAAAGAATAGGGTACTGCAGTGAAATCAATGTGATTGTGATAAATTACAGAAATAAGGTGGTTTGGACAAATTGTCAAATCCAATGACAGAAATCTGTTGTGAATAACAACATTTTCAGACAGTTGCGTGTGTGTCAGAGGGAGTGTGTTTGATGGTGATGGGCAGTGTGTGCTGTATGAGTAATGTCTTGTCTCTACAGGCTGTGCTGTGGCCTGTCTGGCTGAAAGCCAACTTTTCCACGATCTGTATAACCTTAACAGACCTGGCCTGACTTTTGCTGAGCCCGATGTCTTTTAGAAACTTGGCCGGGAGAAAACGAAGCTGGCTGCGCGCTCGGACATGAGGGATTAACATTTATTGACCGTAATTAGCACTCTTTCTGTCTGTCACAAAAAAATCCCTCTCTGGACAATGTTACAGCTTGAGGCTTAGTCACAACAAATTGATACCACACTGCGCCAAATAGGTGATTGCAGAAAAAGAACACTTCCCATGCTGTGTCACTTAATTTGCTTGAACACTCATGTGGAAATTAAACACTGATTGTGAATAAATGAGATATTCTTGTTATTTTCCATTTCCAGGTTTTTACTAAACCCAGAAATGCAAACCATATACCACAGCTAACACAGAGGGCCAGTAAATAATGAAGCCAATCAAGCTCTCCCTGATTTTTATCAGAATATGTGTGACGTCACCCCTGTATGTTTGTTGTGTGTCTACCTGTTGGATTGTATGTGTCCACCACAGTCGATGGCCGTCTCTCCAAGGGCATGGGTGGGATATTGAGGTTGAAGCTGATATTCGTCAGGGTGCTGGCAGCAGCGCTTCCTCGTCTAGACTCTGCCAGGGCTCGAGCCTGGAGGGTGGGGTAGTTCTTGGGTCCCGGAGCAGCAAAGGGCACAGAGTTCCTCTTCATGGCCCTGGACAAGGGAACCGGAGCCAGGGAGAAGGAGCCTGGAGTTGTTCCCGCATTGGTGGATGGAGGAATACAGCGAAGAGCTTCTATGTTGTACACACTGCAAACTGAAGACGAATCGGTAGGATTGTACAAAGTGGCAAGGTTTGTATCAGATGTTGCTGCTGTTACTGAGGAGGGCGGCGCCAAAGCAAGATGCCCGCTGCCGGTAGTTGGTATAAGAGCCCCTCCGTTGTTGCTAAGAGCCCCTGCCTCCACATCCCTACTCTCCAGACCTCTGAAGCTCCCACCCCTCACGCTACCATTCCCTAGATGGTAGTGTTGGTGGTGGTGGTGGTGATGGTGCACCATGTGGTGAACTGTCACAGATCCCTGCCTGGAGGACTTCCTCCTCCTCCTCTGGCTCTGGCTGCGTTGTGGCTCCGTGGCTGGGGGCGAGGCGGCAATGTTGAGGCCGGCACGACGAGCCAAGAACCTGCAGATATGAGCCACTTGCTTGGCACCTTTACGGATGATGTGGACCAAGTACTTGAGCAGCTCGTCATAGCAGGAGCCCGGCTCGGACAGGGACGCCAGAGTGCTGGCGTTGGACATGAAGCGCACCCGTTGTTCCTTCATCAGCTGGCTCACCCTTTGCTTGGTCTCTGAGAACTGCGTGGCGATGACCACCAGGCACAGGTTGATCATGAAGAACGAGCCGATCTAAGGGTGGAGAAAGGGTAGATGACATTGTTATTCACACATTCTCAGTGGATACACCCGTCCCCCAGTTGACCCACTTGCTCAATCATCAGCAGCCACACAGCTGGTGGCACCATGAAGTGGCACTTACAATGATGAGGAGGATAAAGTAGATGAAGCTGTAGAAGGAGTGAGCATCCATCACAAAGTACATGATGTCCACCCAGCCCTCCAGAGTAATCACCTGAAAAGGAACATGGGCAGTAAAGCACAGAAATAACCAGATCAGACAATAGAAACAGGAAAGAAACCAAACAGAGAGTAGAATTAAAAATAGGAATTGAAAGAGACCATATTTCACAGTCCAGACTGTTCCAAATCGGAGACTCGGCAAAAGACTAATCCCCAACATTTCTCTTGCGTGCTTCACCCCACACAGGCAAACCGGAGCAGAAGCCAGACTTATGGGAGGACTCATCTCCAATCTGGCTTTCGTCCTCTAAAATAACCCCCCTCAGTTAGACGGCGATGAATGAACACTCCAACAAAAGCCTTTTCAGAGGATGTAGAGATAGCAAACAAATGGCGTGGAAAAATGAGCCTGCAGTCTGGTGGTGTGGCTGTGGTGACCTGCTAATCCCTGTAAGCCCTGTTTCTGTGATACACCGGCCACTGGGGCAATTAGGCTCCCTTTATCTTTCTTCTTCTCTTTTTGTATTACAGGATTGCGCATCAGCCAAACCGTACTGTATACTTGCCACTGAAAAAGCTGCTAATTTAATCTGGTCTTTTAAAATCCGTCTGCTTTTCCAGTCCAGCTGTTCAGCTCAAAGCCACTACCAGCCGGCCTACCTGAAAGATGGCAATCCAGGCGTAACAGATGTTGTCAAAGTTGATGGCTCCCTTGAAGGGGTTGACGAGACCAGCGGAACAGTTGGTGTAGTACTGGTTCCAGTTGACACAGGTGGTGTTGTCCGTGCTGTTGTAGGAGTACATGTCCAGGTTGCACTGCACGCCCCCCTCCTCGTACAGCTTGGGAACCGAACCGCAGTCCCTCATGCCGTTCTCTCGGGGCTGAGAGCAGATGAAGGGGCTCTCGTCGTCATTTTCAGTTTGGTAGTATTTTCCTAGCTCTACGGAAAGAGGGCTTGAGGGAGAGGAAAGAGGCGACATAGTAGGGAGTCACTGGTTAGTATGGATATTTACACCAAACTCTGCTCTGGAAATTGACACAGTTAAAACAAGAGAACTGGCAGTGGGACTGTCATGGATTCTGGATTATTACTGGTTCCTGTAACAACTGCTGTAGGACCCACTTTTTTCTCCAATTAAAACCCATTTACATGCCATACAAAGTCAATCACAGACTTCCCTTAAGATTAGATGTAACTGAAAGGTGGCCTCTGTGGCCACAGTTTGCAAATACAGAAAGATTTTGAGTCACTCCCAGAGATTGTCTTCATTAGTTAGCTGTCACCATTAGGCAACTATGATACTTAAAATATGATACTGTAAATAATCCAGAACCAGCAACTGTCTGGTTTATACTCCAACACAAGAACAACATACAGCACAGTTATTGTTTCCACCTTCCCACACTTGTATTTTTATTGTAACTCATTTGCTGAAAAGGGGGTAAACCACACAATACACAACAATATACATGTTTACATCACAATAATATCATTATTGTGAATTTATTTGGCCACAATGATCATGTCGTGAAATTCTGATATCACAAAAGCCCTATTTTAAATGTAATGTCCAACGCCAGTCTGTAAACTGACTCAGTAGTCACTGAAAGGATTATATATGTCAAGTTTGCAAACATTAGATACCATAAAGTGCTAGACAGAAGAGCAAGTAGCAAAACTACTGAATGTACTGGAATGAGAAAGAATGCCTTCTCTTGCTTTTAAATTCAGCTTTGTCTGGGGTACACCTCAAGCAGGTCACTTTAAGACATGCTTAACCACAAAAACCACAAAAAAAGAGATACCCACAGAGTAGACGCTTACAAACAAAAAAAAAACAGGCATACAAAATGTGTGAAACAACAAATAATGACTAATAATTCATTTATAAAATCTATCAACAATGTAGGAAATGGAGTAGCTACATGTTGCAAAACCACAAAGATATTTGAGTTTAAAATGTGACCTTCGTGTTGGTTCCTCCAAGAAATAAAGACAGAGATAAGTCTCTCTTTCGGGAACCATCTTTTTCCAATATTATTTAACTGCGGCCTGCGTTTCAAGTTGACGCTGGTTAAACAACTGACCATTTTTATATGACTTAACGATTCTGCCTTTGGATTGTGGCATACACTGGGCAGAATTTTGAAGGGATTCGGAGGATCTCCTGAGGCCCCCAAAATCTGCAGGCTTTAATTCGATGCAAATAGAGTTGCAGCTGATTTCACTGATTAACACTCCTTCAAACAAATAGGAGGAACTAATCAGTGAAGCCAGCTGTAATTGTGTTGAAAAACCTTGGGCCAAAAACCTGGGAAGACCCCCGTGTCACGTATTTGCCTGTTGTAACACCTCTTGGCATGTCTCCTACTGAGCACTCTGCTGTCTGGAATAATTGGTGAGTGCCTGGTGATTGTCTAATATCTGGCTTGTCTGTCAACACACATTCAGCTGGTGGGGTTTTATTGTTTGCACGGGAGCGTCACGTATTTTGTGAGACCGAAGCATTTCCACTTCAGGACCACTTCACACACTCTTATTTATACATGTTAAAAGCTGTTTCACACTTTGGGATGATCTACAAGAGCACTTATTGTTCTGATGAGCTTAGTATATTACACGATTTGATTTATCACACCCCAACGTGGCATGTGGTTCCTACCGGGTGCTCTCCAATATTCTCAATCAGTCTAATAAAGGGTTACTGTCAGCTTGTTGCTAAGGCTCTAAAATATGTATCAGTGATATGAGTTGAAGACAAATGGGAGCAGGCGTTAAAAGAGATATGTTTATGACTTTGGACAAAGATAGGACCAGGCTTATATGCCATTTTTCTAATACAGTGATACAGGCCTTCCAGATACAAGAACAATATCTAAAAATTGACAACGACGACAAAAAAAAAATATGCCTGTACACCAAAGCCATTATGCATGAACCTAAATTACAGCTGTGAGGTGTCATAAATCCTATAGAGAGTAATGAAGCCAGGGTGACACAGGGAACATGAATAAGTCATGGGTGCCCATGTTCCATATACTACGGGCCACACGGGGGTCTTTCTCATTATTCCAGGGCCCGTCTCTCTCCCATTTGTCACTGTGATGAGACTATCATCGCTAACCTCACTGACTTTAGTACATGGCTTAGTTCAGTGTGTGGGGTCAAGGTTCGCCCTGTAGATTTACCTTGACCTTTGTAGATTGGTTTGCAATCTTATTTGGGTTTGTTACAGCTGTATTAAGACAATGATGAATAAATACATCCTGTCACCTTGTAAACATCTGAAGTAAGAATTAGATTAACATGGATTCTTGAGGGCTTGTTAAAGCATCAGTATTTCTTGAGGGCAGTTTTTGTGCACAGCCATTGTTGTGATTCAAGGACCATTTTAATTGATGCTTATTAAGGTTTCTCATTTTGTATATTTAGGAATTACTTCTATCACTTACAAAGAACATTAGAGGTGTAATGATTGGTATGCTTTTAATGGACAATCTTCCGTGCTGGCCATTATATCTTGACTGGCGTTATTTTCACTTCATAAGCCTCTCTGTGTGTTTGTTTATATCTCTGTGGGTCATGAACACCTACTGGCAGGTGTTCATATACCTGTCTGTTTGTAGACAGACTTTGTCAACACAGTAGGGTCTCAGCTGTGCAAGATGTAGTCACGAAACTTAACAGGTGTCTGGCTGAGCTTTTTTAAAAAAAGGCCAAGTTCGAAGACAGGTGTGATCCGAGTCCTAACTCAGTACTCAGGGGTCAGAATTGGGGGTGCAGTGAATCACAAAAACTGTCGCTGTGAAATACTTTTAACGTGCCCCGCTCGGGTGAACACAAAACTGCTTTGTGTCTCGTTGCTGAGACTCTGTATTGAGATTTAGGGAATTATTCCTCACCGAAGCAGAGGTATGTTTCTAGTGCCGTTTGTTTGTCTGCCTGTTTGTTTCTCTGTAAGCACGATTACACCGGACGGATTTCATGAAACTTTGCGAAAATAATATTGCGTGATAAGTGGTTGGCCTTGGTGGAGGACTGTGTTCTCCAAGTGCCCTTCTACTTACTTTAAGTCGGAATTTCATATTATCTCAAACTATGATGGTGAAAGTTTGCAATAAACCTGCGGTTGCTATGCATGCTGAACCAAGGAAACGTACGGATCACAGGTGTACTACTACAAATTTAGCAAAATAACATAAGTGTGAAAAACGAGGTGTATCTAGTGCATAAAAAGTTAAAATACAGAAAACACAGAATGAGACTTACTTATTAGCAAACAGAGTTGGAGCTCTGTGTATTGCTTGATATACTGTGCTGTTTTGATATGGAGTAGACATATAATGCTGTATAAAAGCAAATGCTTACGTAATCCACCTTCACTGTAACAGACTATTGTACTTAAATTTATGTGCTTGGCTACTTTCCACTGCTGTTTTCATGCTGGAAGTACAGCAGGTGACAGAGTGGGCAACACTTACCCTTACAAACAATGCCAATGATGTTCAGTTAGCACTAAAATGAACAGAATAAAAGCAGTGAAGTCTAAACAGTCAAAACAACACAAACACTGGAACAAACATGCAGCGTGGAACTCACAAGGAGAAGTTGTCTTCGACGAAGCAGCGGTTTCTGAGCAGGCCGGTCCACAACTGGACGCCAACGATGCCGAATATGAAGAAGACGAAGAAGCAGAGCAGCAGCACGTTACCCAGCATGGGCAGGGTGTCCAGCAGCAGGTTCACCAGGATACGCATACCTGAGAGACGACACAAGGACAAATCAAACGGCTGGACACTAGTGTCGCGTGGTGCATATCACTGTTTGTACAAGAGGGTCTGCAGCACATTTTTCACAGCTGACATAAGCATTTCATCGAACACAGGAGTCCATGTGAGTACTGATCCAAGCACCTCTCAATTTACAACCATTCACACTGCCTAGCACTGGTCTATTATAACACACTTACACGGACAAGTGCACAATTTAGTGTTTTGCTTGTTTGATCAAATTAGACACTTGCCTGCAGATGCTGTAGCGCTTTTTACAGTTCAATGAAAATGAAACAGTGATGATAAATGCTTGAAATAATAGCCTACTACACATCACCGTCTAGTAAATATAGCCGCTCTGTGTTTTATGTTTCATATTACTTAAACATGGCTTAATGAAGGACTGTCAAAACATGGTCTTTCATTGGAACAGATGAAGAGCAGTGCCGTGGGTTACTTGTAAACAATGTGGGGCCTGGCTCTTGACAAACACAAGTGATTCAGTATATCAATTTGTCAGGATGAAATTCCCTGCCAGTGAGAGTGTTTTTAGGAAATTCATATTAACAACTTGCTTCTAATGCAGTAGTCGCTGGAAGTATGGGACTTATTTTACATTTACCACTGTTATTGTTGATATATTGATATTTTGGGCAACTTATAAAGGGACTGTTGCTGACAGATAAAAGCACCTCCTTGTTTAGTGTCATTTCTTGATCTTAGTGGTATGTTAGGTGGGTTACTGCTAGGTCACTGCTGTCTAACCAGTATATGGCACATGATAATGATTTTGCTGGCTTCTGTTAGTGTGTCACACAAAAACATCTGTAAAAAACAACAACAACAACAAAAAAAAACAATAGAATCAATAGAATTTAATCTTACCAGTGGCCCCTCAACTATTCATCTGTGACATGTTTGGTTGGAAACTTAACTAAACCTAAGTTTAAGATTGTGATATTTTTAAATTAAATGACTTTATTCGACATATGTCTTGAAAACTGCCAAAAGCAAACTGTTCGCTCTGACCACATTTGCTAAAAACCTCAAAATGCTGGGTTCCATGGTACAAAACTGAAGTTCCAGAGTGACTTGCCCTAATTCATTTGACTTCAGCAGGGTTACTTTCTGTTTTGCAGTTATCAGAATGAATGATGATGTCCCTCAAGAGCCTATTGAAAGGTGGAGAGAGTCTCCACTGTCAATACGTATGGGAATCAAATGGAATGATAATGCCATTTAATGAGTGTTTAACGTCCAAAGTGGGTAAGACAACACACTCTAAAACCAGACTAGTGCACCACCATTGGTATGCACCATTGACAAAGCAGTGGCAATCACTTAGAATTGGCTCACAGCAGCACCATATTATGATCATCAGTGGGATACGTCAATAACAACTTTTATGCTTGTGTTGTGTGGTAAACCAAAAATCAACATGACATCCCACTGACAACTGGCAAACGCCACTAGAGCAATACTGACATACCTTCATCCACTATTTAATTTTGGTGCTGCTGCATACAGTGCTTCTGAGGCAGTGAGAGGCAAAAAAAAAAATGTTCCAATAGCAGCTCTGAGCCTGTCATTGTACCGTGGCTGTGTGCTTAGCAACATCCTCCCTTTGCATGAATACAGGTTAAAAATACATTTGGAGAAAACACAACAGTCCTGAGTCAAACGGAAGTCCAGAGATTTGTTAGCAGTCTGTGAGTGTCAGCAGGACTCCTACAGTTTGATCTAAATTAAAGCCACTGTTAAAGACCTGATTTTTTTCTCTATTTCTTTGCCTTTCATACAGTGCATCTCTGATTCTGTCTGCTCTGGATAGTGTTCCCTCAAGTTTCTGACAACACACACGCACTTCCTACCGCCTACACACTCCCTCTGCTAACTGGCTGTGTCCCTTTGCTTGTTGCAACTCAGATTTTAATGCTGTTTTCACAAATCTATCTATCTATCTATCTATCTATCTATCTATCTATCTATCTATCTTGACCTTGTTGCTTCTGTGTCTGCAGCAACCCAGTGAGCCACAACATCAATAATGAGGATCACTTTTCTGATCAGGGGTTTTCTGGGTAATTGGAGAGGCCGGGTCACCCCCTGTCAGAACACCAGCAGAGCTCATCTTCTGGGCCGACAGCCTCCGAGGACCGGGGGAGTCGGAGGGAAGGACGCTGTGTCAATGGCGAGAGCAACACAGAGTTTTTAGATGTTTGCCTGATCCCTTTGGAAGAACTCAAAAAAGGCATGGACATCTTTTTTTTTTTTTTTTTGTTAGAAAGCGTTTTAAATTGCAGTTTGATTAATGCATACTTGTGCAACTCGTGGACTGAATGGGTCTAGTGGGCACCAACCCAAAGAGTTCCAAAGCCAGAATCTCTGTTTGATACTTCTTAATGGAAACTTAAAGAGCTCAGTCAAACATTGGAATGTTCTAGTCATGTTTTCTTTTTAGCTCCAGGTTAGTTCATGCAGGATGTGTTCGTTTAATGAACCTGATCTAATAGCATTTTGGGGTAAAACCTCTGCTCTTGAAAACTGTAACCTAAAGTTTCTGCTGTTGAGATTCCATATTACTTTGTGTTGTATGTTATTGTACTAGTTGGTAATTCCACTCCAGAAAAAAATCTCTGAAGGCGAGTTAGATGGAAGTTCAGGTATGATTGTAGATAAACTCTATGGATGACCATGTCAATCAGTCAGTCCACAGCTTTGGTACAGACTGAAATAAACAAATCTGAATAACTGCAAAATGGATTTTAAGATTATTTTTTTGGGCATTTGTATTTATTAGTGAGGAGATAGAGAGAAAGGCATGCAGCAAATCGTGTCAGGCGACTGTGGTTCTTGCCCCATTTCATGGGTCGCCTGCTTGACCAGATGAGCTATCTGGATGTCCTTAATTTGTTGGTATTCAGCCAACACCACCAACATGCTGAAATTTGTGCTCGGCTATTAGAGAGATATCTAGAAGACCAACTGACTTCCCCATCAGCTTCTGCTGTGCTTTACACTTCACACGAAGATGCATGAAGTAGTACAAGTCCAAACTAAGATGGTGAGGCTGAAACGAACCCTGACCCAGGACATCTTTTTGTTATCTAGACAACAACCACAGTCACACTAAGCACTTACAGGATGGTGGATATCCACTTGTTAGGCCTACAGACGGTTTTCTGAACTTGGCTGTGAGTCAATTCTTGCAAAATTTCTCAGAAGTGGAACAAACTATTAATCCGAAACCTATATGTGGAGTTTGAAATTATAATGCAGGCTAAAAAATAACACACCTGCTGCAGTCAAAACAGGAAGAAAAGCTGCCAAAAAAGTCCCAATTACATGAATGTGTAAATTAACAGGTGTATCAAAATCAGTCCCATTATAAAAGTACAAGTAGATCAATAATATAATTACAATTATGAGTTCTGTTAAGTTAATGTGTTGCTTTAATGTAATCTCATGGCATCTAAGACAATTTTAGCCTCATTGCATAACGTACAATTGTCATGGGGGCAAGTTGAGAACAAATGTAAATGCATCATTGAAACCAAATCTTATGAGGTCAACATTTACAAGGCTTTTGTGCTGCATCGGTCTCTGTTTATATAGCTATACAATGGTCTAGAGAACAATAAAATTGCTTTGAAATTGTGTTCAGCCAGCAGGACAAAAAAAATAAAGCAAAGAAGACAGGAGTTCCCTCCCCTGAGTACCGTTTTCACTTAGATCTATGTTTGTCAGAGACAGAAAAGGATTTAGGCGGTCTGTAAAAGTCTACCGTCCCCTCTCTCTACCTGCACACTGAGCTCCATGGGATCTTACAGGAATTGAGGAATTGAGGAGTTGTTTCCCAAGAAATGATTGGTCAATAGACAGCGGTTTTATACACATTGTCTCCAACATAACTTGGTTAGGTGTGCAGCGTAAGTTACCATGGTGACGTACCCCTGTCATCACCAAGAGTTTGGCTTCAAGCTACCAAACTAAACCCAAATCCTGTCTCAGGCCAGGACTCTGGCAAGTGTTTGCATTTTTCACTATGAGCATGTGTATAACAGCTGCACAGAGCCACATGCATGACTATAGACTCGTAGTTAAAGAAAAACGTGCAAAGAATCAAATGCAAATTGTAAAAAACTATAAAAAGGCCTCGACCGATGCAGAGGGATGTTAGGTAAAAGGGCGGGCTTTGAGATGTCTGCGCCCAGGGATCGATTGCCTCATATTTCATCAGTTGTTCCTCCCTATAAAATAGTACACTGCTTTAATTAGTTTGCATAACAAGTAATAAAATGATGCACTGTTAGGTGAAGTACACAGTGATGTGACATTCGCCTCATCTCGGATCTGGTCTCGTGACACTTTATCTTGAATATAAAGAACTTTTCAACAACTTTAAAGTAAATTACAAAACAAAACAACTATTGAAAACGTAATTTAAAAAAAAAAAACAGAATTTTCAATTAACCTAGAAAATAGTTTGTTTGGGTTTTTAATGGTGGTTTAAATAAACAGATAGATAAATAATTTTAATCTAGATATAAGAAAAATGAAAAGAGAAGCATGTGATCATGTTTCTTTGTAGCAACTCCAATCCAAACAGCAGAGTTGTGGATCTGTTTATAAAAAAACGGGGGTATATTTTAAAGAATGATCCACAGCTGTGACACACTGTGGGGATATAGCGCACAGTCAGATGTTTTACTTGGGTTGTATTTATTGAAATCCACTTTGGTTTTGCAGTTGTTCCTTTAAATGAAGCGCAGGCACTTACAAGACACATTTATAATTCAATAAAAATTCCATCCGCATTCCAACACCTTTCATGTATACTGTGCCATCTGGGAGTGGCACAACAAACTGCATGAGGAACTTCTCATATTTTTAGCTTGACTTTTCTTTTTTTTTTTTTTTCATGTGGGTACACACTGAGACAGAGACATTTGTTTAGTTTTTTTTTTCCCCGTTTTGGCAGATGGGA